ATTAATCATTTTTTGTCATTGTTTATACTACTTTGTTTCTACAAGAAAAGAAATATATCAGATTTTTGCAGTTTACAAGAATATGCAATTAGAACCGGCAACACAATCCATGCATTTTGTGAAAACTCTTTTTAGTTTCAAATTTATTTCCACATAAAATTATAAACAAAAGTTTCACATATTGTTTTTTTAATGAAAGAAAAACTATATTCTTAGAACCTTAATCATTTTAATTTCTAAAGTGTATCCATGATATATATGTCATCGATCCATCCTAAACACTATGTTTTATTTTATGAATTCTCATTAGTCATTTTTTTTCGAATTTAGACCAATATTAATAATAAGATGATTTATGAATATATCAAATTTGCATGGCTCTAGTATCTGAAGATGCTTAAACACTTATTTTTATAAGTTGCAGGTGATAATCATTATTTTGTAATGACCACTTGCATTCAAAACCAATGTAAAGTGAATATAAAAACTATATATGGAAACCATTTAACGGGAATAAAAAAAAAAGTTGAAAGAATTGGCAAGCTTGAGGCAAGAAAACAGAAAGAGTTACAGAGTTCTTTTTCTTTCCGACATTTTTTTGTCATATAAACACATCAGATTTATACTACAAAAATATGATTTTTCTAAGGAACATGTTGGCATCAGGAGTTCGTTTGGCAGTCGCCTGCAATCAGGCAATCAGCGACCAACAGTGGCAATTATCAGCTATTTGTTTCCTAGTCACTAGTCATCAATAAATTTCAGTCACAATTTTGGCAATTATCTGTGAAACGTTTCAGTAATTAATACTCCAAAAAAAAAATCTATAATCCAAGAACAAACATCAAATTTGATGCATTTCTCTACATCCTCTCCATCTGTATGTTTGCATAACGACTATCACGGTTTGTTCAAAATTATGGTTGGATGTAATATACAGGATATAATCAAATATTCAATAAAACGCAATAAAGGTTTAAATTGAAAATCTGAACGAGTTTTTTCTGGTCTTAAAAGAGAAACTGATAGATTCAACCATTTTCTAATGATAATTTCACTATTAAGAATTTCTTCTTGAATAATTTTTCATTGATTATCTCGATTTATATTTTCATTTATATGAAGTTTTAACCACATTCAACAATAGACAAATCATATTAAAAAAAACTCCAATAACAATATGCATTTTTTGCAACTTCCATCACAATCAATTGAAGTTGGTAATAAAACAATGAACATAATATGATGATTACTGTAAATTAATGATTATAATTCATAAAACTCACTTATTATTATTTTTTTATAAAAAGATATTTCTTTTTTTTCTTACACTAAAGCAACTATCATTCTTCATTCTTCACCGAGTAGGTGATAACTATTCCACTATAATTAAAGTATAAAATCCAGCAAGTAAACGAATTACATAAGATGTTATAGTTCAAAAACAAAACAAAAGAGAAGACCAAAGCCGAAAAATCAAGGAAAATAGAATGAACCACCGAGAGAAGGGAGGACCTCGGTGTCCATTCGAGAATTACCTCCGAGTTATCATCAACTAATGGAAGGAATAGGTCTTCGATGGATCTACGCTAAATGCTGAGCCTTTAGTCACGCCTAAATATCATTCTGCACAATTTGAGATGAGAGTAAATGTTATGTATCAATCATAATAATTGTAACATTAGAATTAGTAATGAACATCATTGTTTTCTGATCAAAATTTTTAAGAAACCTCTATAATTCATTGTTCTATCTCGAATTTAAGCATCTAAAAGAGAACAGAGACAAAAAAAAAAGAAAAAAAAACCAAAAATTATTATTTCAGTGGTTCAGTTTACATGAAATATGAAATTTTGAGATTCAATATCAATCGAGCTAACAGAATGAAAATACAGTATTGGAAGTGCCATCTATGTGCACCTTATTACAAAGTTATTATTTAGGAGATGTTGCGTCAAAGAATCTGTATATGTATTTATAAATCATTGGATCAAAAGTTAAAAAGAATATAGTGATTAGCAAATGATGGAATGTCCAATCAAATGCAACTAAAACCTATTTAAAAATACAATTTATTTATTTTTTTCATTTATATAGGGAAAAGTGGAACTATAGATTCTTATAAATATGCAAACAAATGAATGTGAACATAAATAAAAATGGACATGCAAAATAAAGTTACTTTGTTTTCGAACAGAATGAAGTGACATGTGCTGGGTGATCGCAATCATTAGCTATTGATTGCTATTTGTCGACGTTGTGGACGTATTGATGCAACAACATCTTTTTCATCTCTCAGTTCAATAGTCAATAAATGGAATTGAAATCAGTTATCTCCTTTTCCAGTGGAGTTATATACTAGATTGAATTGGAAACATTAAATCCTTCTAGTGGATCGTGGCACCATTCAAGATGTTCTATGTCCTATGACATATGTACCTTGGGTGCCAAATTCAGTTTTTGAGGTTAGTTTTTTTTGCTCTAATCAAACCATTGCATTACCCAATATAAGTTTTACAAAGTAGGTTGATTAACCTCAACAAGATGAGATACCCAATCTATATAGCACTAAAGAATATAACTTAGGGACATACTTCTGGAAAGAAAGAGCCTCCTTTGCTACTCGATCTGCCACACTATTACAGCCTCTTGGATTGAAAATTAGCTTTTGATCCCCCCCCCCCCCAAGCTAGAGAGTATACCTATAATGTCTTGGATCAGAGGGGTGAAACAGGGCCATTCCTTCTCCTTCGTAATGATATCCACAGTTTCCTTAGAACCAGTTTCAAATATAACATGTGAATAATCAAATATTTTCACTGAGGAGATGGCCCATCTCAACGCCTCCACTTCAGTCTCCAATGCAGTGCATAATTTTGGTATAGCTCTAGCCCCTAGCCACAAAACCTTTCCCTGATAGTCTCGAATAACACAGCCAATTCCACCAGTTTGTCCTTGTTTCGGCCAAGCGCTATCAGATTGCATTTCACCCACATTGGTGGAGGCAGGCACCATCTTAGTCTCCTGGGATCAAGATTGTTTAGGATGGACACCTGTTCCTCTTCCTCTTTCCTATTCTTCTATTCCACTGCATCCGCTTGTGCCTTCAACACTAACTCTCTGTGCATCCAGCTCTATCCCTTTGAAGATATAATCATTTCTGCTTTTCCATAACCTCCAAAGAATCCAGGGGATCAAGCTTTCCGATTCAGCACCTATAGGGAAAAGCTTACCTGTGTTAAGGACTCGATAAAGATTGGTGAAATGCAAATCAGCCATAACACCATCTGGAGGAGGAGCTGGAATGGGGGACAGAGCCTAAGTTAAACAGGTATATGGTCACTGGAATAGCAAGTGGTTAATGGTCTCACTACTTGCTTGACACCGACCACACTGAGCATCGTTAACGAGATGTCTACTGGCCAAATTCCCAGAAATCGCAAGGCAGTTGCTCATGCACTTCCATAAGAAAAGTTGGACTTTAGGGTTCGTTGTTGTTTCCCAGAAAAGTTGGAACATAGGATCTAGGCTTAGTTGAAGCATTTCCACTGGTCTGTTCATCGGTTTCAGAATCTTTGTAATTAGAACCCAATATCCCGACTTCACTGTATACTCCTCGTTTTTAGTAAAATCTCAGAAAAAACCGTCCTTTGTTTCACCACCTCCAGGTCTAACTTTATCAATCACAATTGCATCCTCATTCGTAAAAACACCTGCGATCACCTCCCGATTCCACTCCTTGCCAGTTCCATCAATAATTTGATCTACCTTTGTATCAGGATCAAGGAGATGATTGAGGTGTGAGGGTACCTGGTGTCGAGCCGTTGGAGTAGTAGTCGGTTTCTTATCAATCCATTTATCCTGCCACACCAAGGTATCTTTCCCATTACCAATCAGCCTTCTTGACCCAAAGTTGAGAAGACCTTGAGCCGCATGTAAGCTTTTCCAAGCAAAGGAGGGTCTGGAACTCTGGATCCAAGGCTCATCGAAAGTGGATCAGAGTCTTTAAATTCTCTCCCTTTAAGCACTCAAATAAGAAGGGCATCTGGCTTAATCACTAATCTCCACAATTGTTAATCTTCCAAATCCTTGAAATCCCAATCCGCCTTCATTTTTTGGTTAAACAGAGATCTTTTCCAATGCATACCCCTAGACTCTTGCTTATTTTACCAGAACTCCGTAAAATACAGAAACAATGTTATCGCATACTGTTTTGGAAGCTTAAAGCAGCTCATCGTATAGGTGGGGAGCGACATGGCCACAGGCTTAAGCAATACTTATTTACCTCCAAGGGAGAGAAAATGGTTGTGCCACCCATTAACCTTCTGCTGGATTCATTCTTTTATAAAACCCAAGGTTTCAACTTTAGAACCACCAAACGCCTCAGAGAGTCCGAGTTTTTGAGGTTAGTTAGTCTCTTTTATTTTTGTTTTATTTGGTTTATCATCTAAAAATAAAAATAAAAACAAAGCAAAAGACATTGTTACAATGTTGGAGAGTAGAGCCTAGTCAATCGTTCATAAAGAATTGATATATCATCGATGTTCTCTTATTTGGTCTATTAGTTTTTTTAGGTCGTCTGGAGAAAATTTGGCCATCATAAAAAAATTTCATGATATTTCATTTCAAAATTTTAAATTTGATCAAACAAATCAGGACTGGAGAAATTTTAGCCATCATAAAAAATTCCATGATATTTCATTCCAAAATTTTAAATTCGATCAAACAAATCAGGATTTGAGAGATTTTTTTTTGAAACTGTTGATCCAACCGAACACCAAAGGAACATAAATGGGTATCAAAATACCATTCTTGTTATTGTGGACAAAAGAAGCAATATTTTCTACAAATACTCCAAGTCTCCAAGATAAGAACCCTCAAAGGTTCATTCCCTTTTGCAAATCATTTTTTTTTGTCTTTTGGGTGGTGAAAATTCATTTTTTTTCCCTGTCTTCTTATTTCGTTAATTACTGTTAAACCCAAACCGCCCTTTTCGACTCAAACAAAAACCTTAAAGGCTTAAACCCTTAAACCTGTGCGCCGCGTTCTTCTCCTTCATTCTCTCAAACACACAATTTTGTTCTCAAATCCCTCAATTGCTTTCGGTTTTTACAGTAAGATTTCTTCCGATTCTTAATATACAGTATCCTCTTCTTTCCATCACCACTTCCTTCCCGAATTTTTGCGTCGATTTCAATTTTCGTCGTGTCTGGATGGAATTTAGCAAAAGAGACGAAATTGATTGCCGTTACATATAAACCCTAATTTCGAGCTCTATCTTTGTTTCTACAGGTTTCGATGGCTATTGACGGGAGTTTCAATCTTAAACTTGCGTTGGAGACGTTCTCTGAACGTTGCCCCAAGGTGGATGCTTTTCCTACTTTCATTTCGATTATCAGCAAGGTAAGTCCTAGTAATTGTTTCCCTAAGCTTGACTTAGACATTTGTGTTCGGGTGTGTTTGAAATGTTTCTTCTTTTTGTCTTCTGTGTGGTGGGTTTGTTTAGGGAGAAGAAGTGGTGGATAACGAAGTTGTGATTAATGCTTTATCGGATGTATTTCTTCACCCGGAGCTTACGATTCCATTGGTTCATTGCTTCCTTCCCATCATAAGAAGAGTTGTAGATAGAGTGGTTGGTCTTCTTCATTTAGTGGGTGGTCTAAGCTCAAGTACTGGCTACTCAGAGGATGTGTCAGTCTTGGAAAATGCCATGAAGGAAGGTGTTAGTGTGATCGATTTTTATGTTCGGCGTGGGCAAAGGCTGGAGCTTCATGAATGTGCTTGCTTGGCATTCAGTCGTGCTCTTCATATGAATACGTCTTTGCTAGGGTAAGAGGGACTTTATTTCTATATTTTCGAAGCTAGAAAGAATATACAAGATGAAATCTGTCATGTAAACAAGCAATAAAGCTAAGAAATATGTTGAAAATTTACTTTGGTTTAGTCAAAAAAAGCTCGACTAGTCTCCTAACAGAAGTTTTCCTAATTTTTTTAGGTCTATTCTAAGTTATTTTAAGAAAGCTCCACCACCATACGAGCGAATTCTTGTGAAAGAAATAATTTCTGAGTCGCACATTGAGGTATGCTTGTTATCTTTGACATTTATAGATGTTAGAGCATCCTATGTAAATTATATGATATCGTTATTATTCTTATGATTTTTCTACTCTTTGGTTGGTTTCATTGGATATATATATATTTTTCCCCCTGAATCAGGCTACTACAGCTCCATACTTGCTTTGTCTTCAAGTATCATATCGTTTTCTGGTTATTAGACCTGAGGTTTTCTGTAAGCTGTGGGATTGGTCCTGTTACTTGGATTCCATGAAAAGGCTCTCTGACTGTCCCAGACAAAAAGGGCATTTCTTGGAAAAGCATAGAGACGCTGTGTGGTGTGGGATACAAATTCTTTCTGTTGTTTTGAGATGCAATGACAGAATGGCAGGATGTTATGGTTTTGAAGTAGAGGAAGCACTCTCATGCTTGCTACGGTATTGCCCTTTTTAGCTAGACTCAAGAATTCTATATTTGGTTATCGTCTTAAGTTCTGTTTCTAAAGGGTTGTTTTTACATTCAGCTGGGAGGAATTTTGTCAGGATATAGAAATAGAAAAGGCTGGATCATACATTCAATTGCCAACATACACGGGGTTGAGGTCTTTGCAAAATTTTAGTACCCTTGTACCTGGGACTCTTAAGCGACAATCAGCAGGGGTAGAAGAGAAGGAGCCGTTGATGAAGATGCGGAGGCTGGACACCTGGTCGGTTCACGTTGTGTTAATTTGAAATAAATTTCTGACTGATGTCTCATGTACTTGATTTTAATTTTTCTCATTTCGGGTTGATTCCTCCTTCCTCTTCAATTCAGGGATGTCGAATCTTTCTCTGAACCATTTGAAATTCACTCTAGGGTGAAGAAATCTTTTGAAATGGTCTCATTGGCTGTTAGTCAAAAAAGACCTGTTCTTCTGTATGGTCCCTCAGGCTCTGGAAAGTCTGCCCTTATTAGAAAGTTGGCTGATGAGAGTGGTAACAATGGTATGATATATCTTTAATATCTACTTATATTTCTCTCAAGTGTTTTTCTACTTAACTAGGTTCAAGGAACTTTCTACTTTACTGGAAGAGGAAAAGCAACTATCTTGAGATAGTACTGTGCATACTAATGCATTGAGTGTTTTCACTGTTAAACTGTAGGCCTTAAACGGAATTATTTCTCATTTGATTTTCTTTCTTCTTTATGCCTCTCTTTTTTTTTCGATAGTTGTATTTATCCATATGGATGATCAACTTGACGGGAAAACGTTGGTGGGCACTTATGTGTGTACTGATCAACCTGGCGAATTCAGATGGCAGCCTGGCTCACTTACCCAGGTTTGTTGCATGGAATTCAGATGGCAGCCTGGCGGTATCTATCCTCCTACGATTACGTTAAAATTCTTTTTTTTCCTTTTTGGCAGGCTATTATGAATGGTTTCTGGGTGGTTCTTGAGGACATAGACAAAGCTCCATCAGATGTTCCCCTTGTCTTGTCACCTTTGCTGGAAGGCTCATGCTCATTTGTGACCAGCCATGGAGAGGTAAATACTTTCTTTTATGCTCCTCTCTAAACTTCTTATGAAACATTTCTGTAAGGCACACACTTTTTGTGCTTTTCCTCAAAGATGTATTCAAGTTTCAGAGCTTCTTAACTTTTAATCTTTTCGCAGGTGATACAGATAGCAGAGAGTTTCCAACTATTTTCAACCATATCTACACCCGAATGCAGTGTATCACACATCAGGGAAGGTATATCTGGCAGACACTAATTAATTGACAGCTTAGCTATTGCATTCGTTGGCCTGATCCTGCGCTAGACCTACCAGTGATATCTGTTATCTTGCTAAAGTAGCGTGATCTAGGAATGACATACTGACATAGTTGCAAATTAGGTCAAATGGTCTTTTTGGTAGATAATGAAACCTACAACGGAATTTGTTGCTTGAAGTAGAAAGTCAATTGTCAGAGGAGATTAAGAGGCTCAACAGACGGCTGTTATAGTGGCTTTTCATGTTGGCTATTGGTCCCAGTTAAAATGGCTAATCTAATGACTGATTAATATGGCCTTTCGCAAATAACCAACCTACCTCAATGTGCTTGCTGGATTAGTTTCCTCCAATGCTATTGATGTTCGCAACACTAACGAAGTCTTGTAACTATTCATATTATCACGTGGCTTTAGTGCTTAGGGAATACCTTACTTTTTTTTGCTACAAATAAGATTTATCTCAGGAAACCCCTTACTTTCCTTGCCGCAAATAAGATTTATTTCAGGAAACCTTAATGATTTTTTTTTTTTTTTCTGGTTTTCTTGGATGTAGCTGGAAATTCTCTAAGTCCTCTGTGGAGGAGAATTGTTGTTTACCCTCCAGATCGTGAGAGCTTGCTAAATATTGTTGGTGCTCGGTATCAAAACCTCATACCTGTTGCAGAGAAACTTATTGGTAGGTTCCTCTTGAACATACGCCCTTGGCATGGATACTGTACTCACAGTTAAACTATTCCATCTTCGCAGAAACTTATGAAACTGTCAACTCTGCTCTTCGTCCCCAATTTTCCGGTTCAAAAACTGAAAACTCAGTGACTTTCAGCTCTCCAAGTAGATTTTCACTGAGGTAAGCATATTTCCATTAGTTTTCTTGTTCTTAATGGTTTGGTCTTTCTATTCTTTCTGAATGGTCGTCATTTTCAGAGATCTGCTCAAGTTTTGTGAACGGGTTCATGGTCTGTCCTCGTATGACGGTCATGCAATTTCTCAGGAGGTCTGATTCTTTAAGAGTTGCGTTTTTTAGTCGTTTATTCTAATTTTCATATATTTAATTCGGCTTACTTTGTGCTTTTTTCTCAGGCAGCAGATATATTCTCTGCGTCTTATATGTCAACTCAAAACCGAGTGACAGTAAGTGAAATTGTCGCTAGCATTTGGAATGTTCCCGTTCCAGGATCTCAGCATAAGCCCCCAATTCAGGTAGCTTAGTGTTCTTGACAGTGCGTTGCCTTTCTGCTTTGAGATTTTTACTAATTTTTCAATGCACTGCAGGAATTTTCTAGAACTCTAAAAATTGGCAGAGTTTCTCTTCCCCTTGGTGAAACTGCGGTTAGTTTTTAAACCTCTCTGTCCTATTCATTAGTCAGAGCCCCTTATTGATGTTCTTCTTTTTTTTCTTCAGTCGCATGATCGCTCAAGGTTTGTTGAAACACGCACATCCACACGGTTACTTGAGAAAATAGCTCGCTCTGTCGAGTACAACGAGCCAGTTCTCATGGTAGGAGAAACAGGGACAGGGAAAACTACTCTAGTTCAGAATCTTGCACAGTGGATCGGACAGAAACTCACTGTTTTGGTGTGTTTTGACGTACATTCTTATAGTGACCTTTATCGTAGTGGTTTTAATTTTCTTATTATTATTATCATTTTTTTTTTTGCAGAACTTGAGCCAGCAAAGTGATATAGTTGATTTATTGGGAGGTTTTAAGCCTATTGATGCAAAGCTTATGTGCAAAATGCTGCACAATGAATTCCATGAGTTGGCAAGAGATTCGAAGATGAAGGTATTTAAAACTTTCTCTCTTAGATTTCCTCCTGCTCTTATTCCTAACCTGATATACTTCAGAATGAATTTATTGGATGAGTCATGAGTCCTTTTCGTTTTTGGTATCCAGGATGATTCAGACGTTATGATATGGCTGCGAAAAACATTTAGAGCCAAGAGGTGGGATAAATATTTGATAGGGTTAAAGAAAACTATTGACCATCACATCAAAACTTGGGAAAAAGGGTCTAAATCTGGTAGGAAGAGGAAGACACCGGAAGAGATTGAGAGTTGGACTTGTCTGTCCCAAAAAGTGAAGAAGATTCATCAACAGATTTATTCAGGTGGAATGGTTTTTAAATTTGTCGAAGGTGCATTTGTGACTGCCCTCAGGGAGGGATATTGGGTTTTACTAGATGAAGTGAACTTAGCCCCACCGGAGATATTGGGCAGGCTTATTGGTGTTCTTGAAGGAGTGAAAGGATCACTTTGTTTAGCTGAGAGAGGGGATGTAATGGGCATTCCCAGACATTTGAATTTCCGTTTGTTTGCTTGTATGAATCCAGCCACAGATGCGGGTAAGCGAGACTTGCCGTTCTCCTTCCGTAGCAGATTTACAGAGTTTGCTGTGGATGATGACTTGTGTGATGATGACCTGGAGATATTTGTGAGGCGATTCTTAGGTGGACGTGAATCTGACAGTAAGTTAGTTGGCAACATTGTTTGCTTTTACAAAGAAGCTAAAAGGCTATCTGAAGAAAGCTTGCAGGATGGTGCTAATCAGAAGCCACAGTATAGCTTAAGGTCTCTTTACCGTGCACTAGAATATGCGATAAAAGCAGAAGGTATTGGCGGATTTCAGAAAGCATTATATGATGGATTTTGCATGTTTTTCCTCTCTTTATTGGATGCTTCCAGTGCCAAGATTATGCACCCCATAATACTACAACTTATCTCAAGGGAAAGTAGCCGTGGGCAACCACTTCAAAGATACTTGGGAGAATTAAAAGGCAGTTCTGATGAATACGTTATGACGAAGAGTGTAGTTGAACACCTTAATCATTTGGCGCATGCCATTTTTATCAAAAAATATCCTGTTCTCTTACAAGGACCAACATCCAGTGGAAAAACAAGCCTTGTCAAATATCTTGCAGCAATAAGTGGAAACAAATTTGTTCGGATCAATAATCATGAGCAGACAGATATCCAAGAATATTTAGGTTCCTATATGACTGATTCTTCTGGGAAGCTTGTATATCACGAAGGAGCGTTGGTGAAGGCTGTTAGGGATGGACATTGGATTGTCTTAGATGAACTAAATTTGGCCCCATCTGATGTCTTAGAGGCACTAAACAGACTGCTTGATGACAATAGGGAGCTTTTTGTGCCTGAGCTGCATGAGACAATCTCAGCGCATCCGAATTTCATGCTCTTCGCTACACAAAACCCTCCTGCTTTATATGCAGGACGCAAAATACTCTCTCGAGCTTTTCGTAACCGTTTTGTGGAGATTCATGTTGATGAAATTCCAGAAGATGAACTGAGTGAAATTCTTTTTAAGAAGTGTAGTATTGCAAAAACTCATGCTACAAAAATGGTTGAAGTGATGAAAGACCTGCAGCGCAACAGGCAGAGTAGCAAAGCTTTTGCAGGAAAGCATGGATATATAACTCCAAGAGATTTATTTCGGTGGGCAGATCGGTTTAGGGAATATGAAGGTAAATCTAATGAAGAATTAGCCAGAGAAGGGTATTACATCCTTGCAGAAAGGCTGCGTGATGACACTGAGAAGCTAGTTGTTCAAGAGGTGCTGGAGAGACATTTCCGGGTCAGTCTTGCAAAAGATGATTTGTACAAAGAGGTAAGTTTTGTTTTCTGATTTGAAACTTTTATAAAAACTGTTTTTTGATTATTGAACTCGCTCATATTAGGTTGCCTGAAATTAGTTTATATTGTTTGTCTTCGAACTTCATATATCCATTTGATGTAGCTGTATCATACAGTGAGCTCTGCTTGTTCTTGATCTTTTGCATTTTCAAAGACACTAACTTTCATTCTGATAGATTATGTTTCAAGGAAGCTGTTGGTTTTGCTGAATTATTACTAAGCGTTACTATTACTGCATCAACTAAGTTTTGCTATTTCTTACGCTACTCTGATGTAAGTAGATAATGATCTCTTCTGTTTTTTATTTTTTATTTTTTTCCAGGAGTTCCTTAAGCTGGATCAGCCGTTTTCCAGGTAATTGCGTTTCCCTCATATATCTTCTTAGAGTGAATCATTGTTTTTATCTTGTACACTCTGAGCTGAATTTTATGGTGCTATTATTTTCAATCTTTATATAGGAAAAGCAAAACAGTCACCTGGACTCGAAGTATGTGGAGACTATTTTTCCTCATCCAACGTTCTTATAAATTGAGTGAGCCTGTTCTTCTTGTTGGTGACACTGGGGGAGGCAAAACAACAATCTGCCAACTACTAAGCGAGAATAAGGGCCTAAGATTGCACATCCTTAACTGCCATCAATACACAGAAACATATGATTTCCTTGGTGGGTACTTTCCTGTGAGAGACAGATCCAAATTAGTCACAGAATACGAGAATCAAGTCAAGCAGTTAAAGCTCTCTGAGGCATTGGCACCTTTTGGCCAAGAGATTGACCTTTCTGCAGATATTGGTAGAGCTGAAGTGTTGATCAAATCAATAGAGGTAATTCTAGAGAAGTTCAAGAACGATTCAGTAATAGGAATGGCGGCCACTCCGCAGAATATTGATGTTCTTGAGAAAATACGGAACAATATGGTGATGCTGTATCAAAAATGGCGTGCAATTTTTGTGTGGCAAGATGGTCCCCTTGTGGAAGCAATGAGAGCTGGAAATATGTTTCTTGTGGATGAGATATCCTTGGCTGATGATAGTGTATTAGAAAGACTGAATAGTGTGTTGGAACCAGGCAGGAAATTGTCGTTAGCTGAGAAAGGTGGTCCCGTCTTGGAGGAAGTTGTAGCTCATGAAAAGTTTTTTGTTCTTGCTACCATGAACCCGGGTGGTGATTATGGAAAGAAGGAATTGTCACCTGCACTTCGTAACCGTTTTACTGAGATATGGGTCCCTCCTATTACAGGGACTGAGGAGCTGAGAAGTATTGCTTTGTCTGGCCTTTCCAACTCAAAGGAATCTGATATCGTAAATCCCATTATTAACTTCTGGGAATGGTTTAACGGGTTGCAGACTGGGAGAACGCTTACTGTCAGAGATCTCCTCTCTTGGGTTGCGTTTGTCAACGTGATGAATGAGAGCTTAGGACCCGCATATGCTATTCTTCATGGAGCATTTCTCGTGGTACTTGATGGTCTAAGTCTTGGAACTGGTCTTTGTGGGAGAGATGGTAAAGATCTTAGAGAAAAATGCTTCAATTTCCTATTAGAACTACTTAAGGTTTTCACTAGCGATACACTCCTTCTGGAACTATCAAGAATGGAGCAATATGGCTGGGGTGATGCCAAAGCAATTTGTCAAGAAAGTAAGAGTGTTCTGAATAAGGACATGTTTGGCATCAATCCTTTTTACATAAGTAAAGGTGATGAAACTCCTGAGATTGGTGGATTCGAGTTCTTAGCACCAACGACCTGCAGGAATGTGCTTAGAGTATTGCGTGCTATGCAGCTTTCAAAACCAATTTTGTTAGAAGGTAGCCCTGGTGTTGGAAAAACAAGTCTGATAATGGCGGTTGGTAAATATTCTGGCCACAAGGTTGTGCGCATAAATCTTTCAGAGCAGACTGACATGATGGATTTGCTGGGATCGGATTTACCTGTGGAAAGTGATGAGGACATGAAATTTGCGTGGTCTGATGGAATTCTCTTGCAGGCTCTAAAGGAAGGCTCCTGGGTTTTGCTAGATGAACTGAACCTTGCCCCGCAATCTGTTCTAGAGGGTTTGAATGCCATTTTGGATCATCGTGCTCAAGTCTTCATCCCAGAACTGGGCTGTACCTTTGAATGTCCCCCGACATTTAGAGTTTTCGCATGTCAGAATCCTTCTTCTCAAGGTGGTGGCAGGAAAGGTCTTCCCAAGTCTTTCCTTAACCGATTCACAAAAGTTTATGTGGACGAGTTAGTGGAAGATGATTACCTCTTCATCTGTCGCTCGCTTTACCCATCTATTCCCAGTCCACTGCTTTCAAAGCTTATTGCTCTCAATAGACAATTACATGATGGTACTATGGTATCTCGAAGATTCGGTCAGGATGGCTCACCGTGGGAGTTCAATCTACGTGATGTGATAAGATCATGCCAGTTTATGCACGGTAATATTTAGAGTTCTTTTAATTTTTCATAATAGCATTTCCAGGCGACGGTAGTTGCTTAGACTAATTTGAGTTCTCGTGTCGTTTCAGGGGCAACATATGACTTAGAAGTTGAAAGCTTTCTCAATGTTCTTTATGTTCAAAGAATGCGTACCGCAACTGACCGCAAGGAAGTTCTGAGTATCTATAAGGCTATTTTTGATAAATACCCTTCTATAAATCCTTATCCTCGGGTTCAGCTAAATCCTGGATACTTAGTTGTGGGAACTGCTGCTATTAAAAGAAATTTCACTCAGACTTATGTTTCCAGTGAGCAGTTGAAGATTTTGCCTGAAATCCGTCAGAATCTGGAAGCTGTTGCACATTGTGTGCAGAATAAATGGTTGTGCATCCTAGTCGGACCATCGTCATCTGGAAAGACTTCAGTGATCAGAATATTAGCTCAGTTAGCAGGATTTCCTCTTAATGAATTGAATCTTTCATCTGCGACTGACAGCTCTGATCTACTCGGTTGTTTTGAGCAATACAATGCATTCCGTAATTTCAGATTGGTGGTCGCTCGAGTTGAGCATCTTGTTGATGAGTATAACAGTCTGTTGTCACAGTCTACCCAGGAGGCCCTTTTGAGCAAAAGGAAAAGCTTAGTTTCCAGCTGGCTTTCCTTTTTATATAAGATTGATTCCTGTCTCTTAGAAAACCCTTCATCCTTCTTGAACGACTCTGTCTCACTCTCTAAATTAGTTGAAATTGTAGAATATCTGAGAAAGGTCTTGGAAGAAGGTCTTTTGCCAGTTAGTTGGTCAAAAAAGAATCTGGACCAAATCATGAAGACAATATTGAAGCTGAAATCCGATGAGAAGAAACAGTCAACGAAATTTGAATGGGTGACTGGAATGCTGATAAAGGCAATAGAAAATGGAGAGTGGGTTGTTCTTGAAAATGCAAATCTCTGTAATCCCACGGTAAGACAATCTCCCTTTCTAATATCCTGTTACGATTTCATTTCATTTGGTTTTACCCATGTGACCTTTATGGGTTTGTATGCACTACTAATTAGAACCAGCTCTGATAATTTTCCTTGTAGCTAATTGCTATCATTAACTTAAATTTCAGGTACTTGATAGAATCAACTCTTTGGTGGAACCTTGTGGATCAATCACTATAAATGAATGTGGGGTTATTGATGGCGAACCTGTAACTGTTATTCCACACTCCAACTTTCGTTTGTTCCTGTCTGTTAATCCAAAATTTGGGGAGGTGTCAAGAGCAATGCGGAATAGGGGTGTTGAGGTATTTATGATGGGGCCTCATTGGCAGCTGAATGAGGAAGATTCTAACAGTGATGAGCTCGTGCTGAGAGGTGTGGAAAGGTTTCTTGCTCTATCAGGTATTCCAGGTGACAAGCTGGTTGCCTCCATGGCCAAAGCACATGTTCATGCATTGCGTAATGGTCAAAGCATTGGTGTACGGATCACGTATCTTGAGCTTGAACAGTGGGTTCACCTCTTCCAACTGCTGCTCATGAATGGTAATCAACTTCTGTGGAGCTTACAGTTAAGTTGGGAGCACATTTATCTCTCTTCCCTTGGAGTAACTGATGGAAAAGATGTTGTTGATCTTGGACGTGATACGTATTTGTCAGATATTGAATCATTTATAGGTGGGGGTATGTGCCTACCTGGGGGGTGGCCAAAGCCTTTCAATTTGAGAGACTTGATGTGGTACTCAAGAGAAACAACTGTTAGACAGAATTGCATGTATCTGGAGTTCGTAGGAGCTCAGTATGCATTAAATCAGTCTGAAATAAGCTGCAATGTCAATTTGAGAGATGGGAAATTGGCTGCTGGGGAACCGAGAATAATTTATACTATTGACTCTCGGGCGTTAAATAGAATCTTGTTTCCTAAAGCCTTAACTGGGTCAACTTGTGAAGCAGATACAGCAAAATTTGACCATGGTTCTGCTTCAAAGAAGCTATTATATGCTGCCAATTGGACAATGGAACAAGCAACCGAAGAGGATATTCAACTCTATCTGGCGTGGTTTAGTTGGTTTAGTTCCAGGCTGCAACAATACTGTCCGTTTTTCCTGTATTTTCTCAGTATGTTGAAAGATGAGTTGCAGCATCCAATCTGGAGTCATATATTTCGATGTCGAAAAAACCTGAAATCCCTCTGCAAATTGGATCCAGATGCTGTTCCAATTCCGATGATGTCCTCCAAGTTGATTGATATAGCAGCATCAAATGTTCAGTCAAAACCTTACAGTAAACCCCTCTTTGAGTCTCTCAACTCTGTTGGCGTTCTTCGGCTTTCCTATCAGCAATGGCTTGCCGAAAGTAACTATAATCACACCGATGTATCCTCCTTTGTTCGCTTTTTGGATTCGCTTCGCGCATTGGAGAAGAAAATTCTTTGCGAAATTGTTGGATCACCTTCTTTCAGTGTGTTGATTCAGCTGTACACAGAAGTTATTGAAAAGCATTCATTATTTTGGTCTCGTCTGGTCTCTTCTTCAAATGAGTATATTTTGTTTTCCTTTTGGTCACTGATAAAGGCTGTCAAAAAGTTGCACAGTTCTTATCCTGAAGAAGTTCAAGTAGTTCTGGTACGCCTACCATTCATTTGTGCCATTTTATTTTTCTCTAAGTTATTAGACTGGTTGCTCAATAATATCGCTGGCTTTCTTCTGTAGGAGGAAAGCAAAAATATTAACCATATAGCTTTGCATGGTGACCCAGAAAAGTCTTTATTATGGGCTTATGGGGGGCATCCTTCCTTGCCGGTATCTGCAGAGCTGTACCATAAGCAGCAGGAATTTCTACAGCTCTGCAGTACAGTTTGGCCATTGAAATTTGAATCAGATGAACAAGGTTGGATATCTGAATTTTTTGGTACTACCCCTTTGATGGTTCTGTTAGAGAAATTAAACTCTCTTCTGACATATGTTGGGTGTTGGCAGGAAATGATCATCTTAACAAAGCCATTGCTTTCTCTGGCCCTGAGCTATGTTTGCTTGCCTTGGAAGGTAATTTTTCTTCATGAATTGCTCATCTCTGTTTCACTGTACTTATCTCCTCTAATACTAGTAGACTGCAATGTTCAAGAAACATTGCTGAGCACTATTTATATTCTTGTCTTCAAGCAGATGTTAATTGATTGTTGTGGCTTAACGTAGAAGTATATGAAACTGAGCCATTTACTGTACAGAATAGTCAGAAAATAAACTACGCCAAGAGAACTTGGATGAAAAATGCTGAATGTTTCTTAGTGATATCTATGTTTGAAGGATATATGATGCCTCTTATATTGATTGTTTGAAGCTGTGATTGCTTGATTGTGATATGATTCTCGTTATTGTATTTTTCTGTTTTGTCCTTCAAAAATTTACAGGTCTTTGCATTTCATCATACATAGCGGACAAAGATGATAAAAATTCAGTAGCTGCTGTTCAGCTGAATGAGATCTACCAGGTTTGTTTTCTTTGTTATACTGAGTGTAATCAGATGTCTCTATCTGCTACTCACAATTGACCATCATCACCCAGACGTTTTCGAAGAGGCTGGAACTAGAGAGGAAGAGACTGGAGGATAGAGTGGGTTCCAGTGAGAATGATAATATTGAAAATAAATCTGTTGCATGCTGTGGTTTCCACCCAGAGAATGTGGCTACAGGGTCTGGCTTCAGCAGTTGCGTGAAGATATGTTTTATTGTTAGTAGTGAAAGTAGTTCGTTAGACGTAGAGTTACTTGCTGTACTGCAGCACCTCTTGGTGACTCTATCTACTGAACATAAGGTTAGTGGATATTATTAAGAAAATGTGCGTGCGGTGCGCTACTCTTTGTATATCCCTGGTTAAGAACAAGTTTCTTGTTTACTTCTCCAAAACTTACTCTTTTGAGTTACAGGATCTTGTGGACGTTCGAAAACTGCTTAAACCTGCTCTAGAGTATTCGTTATCCTCAACAAGACCTCCACAAACTCTTGTAGCTCATCAAAAACTCCTGTGGGCAATTGATGCACGTGCCTCTGTACTAGGAGGTAAATAAATTTGGATATTCAGTTATATTTCTGTCTGCGAAAGTTAACTTGCTAATTATTTTTGTCTTTGTTGCAGTGGACACCAAAATTGCTGGTTTTGTTCTCGAGATGTGGTACTGGTGGCATTCTGTTTTGTGGAAAAATAGTCAAATCGGTCTCATGGTATACAAAATTAAATGACTTTTGTTCAGTCGTCACTTAGATTGCACATGATGTAACATCTTTCTTTCATCTCATGTTCACAGGGCCTACAGAGTATCTCAACAATCGGCAACTGTCCGGTTCTTTCGCCTTCTATGCTTATTCAGCCTGTGAAAACAGCTACCGTTGATCAGATTCTGTAAGTGTATCTCCATTATGACGTTGTGTGACCTTAACATTTAGTGTGGCAGCTCTTTTCTTCTGATCAGTTATGAGCATGTTAACTTTCCATACTTTTCTTTGCATTTTGGTATATCTAACGTTCATCTGTCACCAATATTGAAACATTGCACTGTGACTGAAATGCTTACCCTCTAGGATAACGCACTTTGACTCTTGGATGACGGAAAATGGTCTTTTGATGTTTATGCAGGGAAAGTGCTTTTTCTGTGAAGGATTATCCTGTTCAATCAATGAAACTTCTTTCTGCTTCACGATTTCTATGGAAAAGCTCACAACCCCATCAAGACATGCCTGGTTCTTTACTGTCAATAGCGCGTTCCCTTTTCCAACAGGTATTGGAGTCGTGATAAGTTTGAATAGTTTCATATGTTTCTTTGCTTATTGTGTGATTTTATCTTGATTTCAACCTCTGTAGATGATATATACGCACAAAAAGTCATTTGAGCCTGAAATGTTTGCTGAAATTAAGTCTGCATTCGATGCGATTGAGAAGGAGCAGAACATGGTATGAGTCCAAAAGCTGTATTTTCTTTTCTTTCTTTCCTCTTTCTTGTTAACATATTAAAGTTTTCTCAAAAGTTTATTTTGTGGAAAATAGCTACACCACCAAGTTTATGTTTCTCTCTTTTCGTGTATGCAGATGGAAGGCATTCAGAATCTCGTCTCACTGATCCGCTCATCAACCCATCAGAAATTGAAATCTGTTACGCACTCATTTGTCGAACCATTGGCGAAACATCTTTATTCTAAGTGCTCATCAAATGGTAGTGTATATAGTTTTTATATAAGCTGTAATAATTATCGCCTTGGCAAGTTAAACCGTCCTCGATGGGTGTAATTGTTCTGACAACTTTATGCCCAACTTTTGTAGAATTCTACGTCAATCTTGGTATGGCCTGGATATATCTTGGAGGACTACGCTTCCATCTTTTGAATAGCTTGGATGTGATAGATCCAGCCATGAAGATCACTTGTAAGCTGTCAGAGCTAGAAGATAAAATTTTATCGCTGAAGCAAAATATCGAGGTGGTTTTTCTTTGCATTGTATAGGCTCACAATAGTAGTTGCATATTGTATGTGTTTGTTTTTATTGATTAACCTATATCAATGTATTAACAGGTCCGGGGAGAATGTGAGTATCTGTCTGGAATGCTTTATACTGGCAACAATGACGAAAGAACTGAGCAGACACTGTCTAAGCTCAAAACTGAATGTAAAAACTTGCAAAGGAAGGTATGTAGCAGCCACTGTAGTTTCTCTCTCCCCCTCCTTTTTTGTGATTAATATATGACCGATCCCATCTCTCAGTGTTCACTTGTTGTTCTGAAACAGGTTATTTTTCGCTCTGATCCTAGTAAGTACCAGAATTTGAGAAGAGCGCTGGATGAGTTTGCGGGATTTCTCACACGTCCTATAAGTCTGATCAACGAAATTAAACTGCTTGATTGGAACCAGGTTGTTGAGCAAGTTTTCAACTGGCAGGTATGTTGCTGGCATGACTTTCATTTGTATTTTTTTTTTTAGTTTTATCCCTCGAACCTCATTTTTAAAATCTTGTATCCTTGAATTCTGCAGGAGACGGCAACATCTTTTATAGATCGGTTGTCTAGTGATTATCCCGAATATGTTGATATAACTCAGCCAATACAAGTTTCGGTATACGAGATGAAATTAGGTTTATCACTCTTTGTCTCTGGTGCTCTCTTGGGAAAAAGTCTCAACAAAGTTGGCATAGATATGGTTGACTCTGTCATGGTACTTACCTTTTATTTATCAGAAGTGTTTGTACATGTCATTTCGTGTAGACAAAAAATTAATGACTTACAATCCTGGCAGGAAACAATTTATGCTTTAATGAGATTTCCAAGGGGCTCCTCCTTAGCTTCAACTACCTACATTGAGAGCTTGCCACCACTGCACCTTTCTCATGATGCAGATTCTCGTGCTAAGTCCTTAGGTCTGGATGTTAGCTTGCTGCACAAACTGATCTCGGTTTCAAGTTCAGAAGATTCAAGAAAAGTAACTATTCATATGATTTCCCGAATTTACAATATTTAAATTTATGATTTTTCTACCAATAATGAGGTTTGTCAGACTTTTAAAAGTACTTTGTATTCATTATGTTCTGCTTGATTATTGTAGGTCTCCGAGTTGCAACTAAAAATTGCTTTATACAAAAATCTGCATGCTCGTGTTTTGCATTTTGTTGCCAATGCTGGGCTAATGGATAAAGCTTCTTTTGAGGTAAATTTGGTGCTTAGTTGTATGTCATGTGAATATGTAAATATGTTTTCTAACGTTGCAAGAGTTCTGCAGATATTAGGTAGAATTTATTTTGAATTGGTGAGAAATTGGATGGAGATGAAGTTTCAAGTAAGGACAAAGGCCGACGCTCTCTCTGGAATTTACAAATTTCGTTCCCGTGACTTCAAAATTGAGAGTGTCATGGAAGTAGATATAACTGCCCTTGGCAAGTACTTTCCAAATGATAGTTTCTCAGAATGGCAGGAGTATATGGCTGATGATGATATGAAACTTATGGTAAACCTTTCAGTCTTATGCTCCACTGGAACTTTTAATTTTCCTGTTTATCACTTCTGATTTTTCTTTTGCTCTCCACAGACACCAACCAACCAGGATGAAGAAAATTTGGAGGATGATTGGGACTTGATACAGGAGCATCTGGATAATATATATAGCACACATAATGAGTTATTTGGCTTCTGTGATCTCTCTGAAAAGGTATTGGCAACAACCGTTTCTATATTCAAATCTGCAATTTTTGCATCAGTACCAGTTGCCATTCCTTTGTATCTAACAAGACAATATATTATATGTCAGTCTGGAAGATTACGTATTACTGACAGTAGAACGCTGGATTCATTCACTGATTCTTATGAACTTGGAGTCAATATGATCAAAGGTGACCATCAGACACTATTTCTCGCCTTTGTTTATTTAATGTGGTTAGATTAGCTAGATTTAATATATTTCTGGATTATCTCTTGATTCGACCAGGACTAAGGGGTTTATTTACATCAAGCTTGGATGCAAAACTTGTTCCCGAACACCTACTTCGTCTTTGCGTGGAATACCAAAAAACTTTCACTTCTTACGATCAGTCTGCCAGTAAATACAACTTTTACAAGGTCTGCTAACTTTTTGCTTCCTAAAGAAGTTCATCTTCTCTTATTTATTTTACTGTGTTCTGACAATATCTTTTATAGGACTTTGATGGTCCTAAGCTGGGGAAAATGGTCAAGTTCCTCATCCCACTTCAACGGAAAATTTATTCTTTATTGCAAGAACAGGAGGACCATCCTGGTCTTCAGAAACTTTCCGATGTCCTTCGAATGCTCTTGGATATTCCTTCAAATACTCCGCTGGCAAAGGTATATACTCAAATCGGTTATATAAGACTGTATCCGTCAGCAAGAAAACAACTGTGCGGTAACAATGTTTCTTGATATATGGAAAGTATTAATGCAATGGTAGCTTATACCCACGTAATAACGGCTTCGTATTGCCGTCCTATTTGATGTCCTTTTTAATGATCTGTCATAACCATTACGTTCTTGTTTGCCATTGTTCGTGAAGGCTCTTTCAGGATTGCAATTTCTGCTTAGCAAGGTTCAGAAGCTACAGGAAGAGGGATGTAAATTGCCCATCTCTGGTATGGATTTAATTTTCTCTTACACTCGGTTGATTATGGACTCTCTTAATTAGTCATACAATTTGTTCCGTCCGCTATTTATTCTAATTATCAGGTGTCACATTGTGTTTTTCTGTCTCGTATAGATCTTTTGGAGCCAATTATTTCCCTCGCAAGCTCTTGGCAGAAGGTTGAATTTGAGCGCTGGCCTACATTGCTTGATGAGGTTCAGGATCAGTATGAACTAAGCGCTAGGAAGGTAGGAATAGTTAGAAATTTTTTTAGTTATGAACAAAATTACTATTAAGGGTAACACCAATACTTTTACTCTTTGCAGCTCTGGCTTCCTTTGTTTTCAGTTCTGTTCCAGAAGGATTGTGTTGAAATTTCAGAACATGAAAACGAGTTTATTTCACAAAGGTGTGCGCCAAAGGAATATTGTGGTGCTTACATATGTATATTTGCAAGTATGCGGTCATCTAAGAGATCTTTTTGTTGCAGTTTGGTGGAGTTCATTGAAACGTCAAATATTGGTGAATTTAGGAGACGTCTTCACCTTCTCTTTTGCTTCCTTCTTCAATTAAGTATGGGTGGCTCGTTGGGAATGTATTCAAGGTTAGCTGCGTATGATCTAATAGTCACATAAATTCTACTTTCCTCGTCCGTCTCAATCTGGATGGGTTTAAAGGGGTTTTAGCATCATTCCTTCAGCCGTCACTTTTGGCTGCACATCCACTGTTTACACTTGCCATCTAACTTGACTGTAATTTCTAGGCTGACTGTCTTTTCGCCTTTAACTTATGCTTTTACTTTGACAGTGATTCACACAAGAGGAAGGTGGAGATTTGCTACAATATTTTTGGATTCTATAGTCAGTTCTTACCGGCGTAAGCTCCTTTATAATTCTGTCTTGAATTTTATTAGTAAGATTCTTTGGCCAGGGTAGTGTTCTCAATTCAAGTTTCTTTTACCAGTGTACTGGAGCAGTTAGATTTGAATAGAAAAAAAGTTGAAGCTGAGTTAAAGGAGGTTCTAAAACTTTGTCGGTGGGAGAGAGCAGATAATTATCTGTACACTGAGACTACTAAAAGAACCCGGCAAAAGGTCAAGAAGCTGATACAAAAGTTTACTGTAAGTAATTGGTGACTCTTCTTTTTCATTTTCTAGTGGTTATATAAGTTCAAATGACGGAATCTCATCAAAGAGATTTCTAAATGGCACTTTTTTCCTTGAGCAGGACATGCTGCGGCTCCCTGTAATGCTTGATAGGCCAAACCTAGCTAAGGAACGAGTTCAATGTCTCCCTCTACTAGGTCCAGATCTTATGAATGTAGCATCCGACATGAGGATCGAGGTTTTAGTTAGTGATTTAGATGCAGAACAATTGAATGACAGGTATACCTTTGCATCTTGTGCCTTTCTGCACTGTTAGAAGTTTATGGAAGCTGAACCCTCCATCATTTATGCTATGAACTTTTCTTGGTAGGTTTTCCTGGTATGCTGCTTGGAGGAATAAATTAAAGGAATCGGTGGGAAGCTACCACCAAGAAATGCATCTTAAAACATTGCTGATGAGTGAAGGTTCGTTCGTACACTTCAATTCACTCTTTGGTTCTATATGGTCGTTTTTTTTTGTTGAGGGGAGTCTGCATATTCTTAAGCTTGCAAAATATATTTGCAGAGCACCACAATCCTTCCCCCGTGTATCAGGGTGATTGGAAAAATTTGTGGAGTGCAGTCGCTAAGATTGGTGGAAAGATAGCTGGCTGTTCAGAATTATGGAGAAACAATGACAGAGATGTTGCAAAAAAGAGGGAACTGACTGAACTTCTCAAGTTATTAGAAAATAGTGGTTTGCAAAAACACAAGTTCGAAAATGTAGAGGTAGAATACTTTTGATTGTCTATTTCTTTTTATGTTTCTACTTTCTGGTCATGCTTTATTTATTGATCAACTATGTTCTCTGATGATTTCCCTTTAATAGGTGTCAAAAGATTTGCTTAATCAGCCAGCATACGACCCAAAGCATCTGCTGCTGCTAACACATACCAAAAGTAGCATACATGCTTCCAAGGTTGTGGAAGATCAAAACAAGGAAAATTCACTGGTTGAGTGGAGAGCGGCAAATGAATTTTACTTCAAGAGCTTGGCTTCAGTGCAACTCTTGTTAAATATTGACCGAAAACACTCAGATGTTACATCGGAGCAGGTATATTTTGGTGCTTGTAATTTATATCTGGGCTTCTCTGAGTCTTATTTTAACCAGTTGTTTCAAACTTAGAGTCGCCCACTAAATTTCCTATGTTAACAGGTTAAGCGGTCAATCTCATTTCTCAACCATCTTGTTGAAATACAACGTCAGCAAAGGAAAACTGCTTATGGCTTCGCTGAACTTCTAAACCGCCTTCGCCAATGTGTTTTATCTTTAGCAAAATTACTGGGGGACTCAATTGAGGGGGACAGAAAGGACGATTCCGTGTTGAGTTTTCCCCGAAATCAACATGCTATCTTCAATTGCTTGTGGCTACAGAAGGTACTTCAGCTTCTAACTTGAATGATTGGCATTGAACCTCTGTTGCTACAACACTGGGTTAACTTGTTACTTATTGTGATATTGCAGCAACTATTTGATAACGTTAGTGCAATGCTTCTTGAGGAGTTGGCGTTGCTGAGAACTATTGGAAGTACACACTTGGACTCCTGTCAAACTGTTAAAACCTCATCACATAGTTTGCTCAGCTTAATAGAAAAGCTAATTCCCATCGCTCAAAATTCTAAGGTGCAGAATTCTTTGAGCTTTTTTCTTAATCTTTATTTTCTGTTATTTCTTGCAATAGTCTGAATCTGTGTTTATCATCAGGCTTCACTGGATAGGCTTCTACTTGACTCCAACGGTTTTATCATCACGCCAAGTAGCTGTCTTAATCAGTTTGTCACACAGCATATGGTTCAGCTTCTACACCAGAACTTTGATCGGCTTACAGACCTTGAGAATCAAATTTCGACTTTCTGTGAAGACAATGAGAAAAGCTATGCTAGAGACGTTCTACTTAATCATTTTTCCCCCGTGTTTAAAGAGGTATCCCTGTCTTTATTCAACCTTAGTGGATTCTGTTGACCTTTTTTAAGATGCTATCCCAGCAAATATATTGTATTTAGGTTTCTTAGAGTCAGATTTAAGAAATGTATTTAATGCAGGGGAAATTGCTGGCTGAAAATCTGAAGTCTTTAGTTAATGCTGGAGACCAGTCAACTGGAATGGAACCCAAGGAACAATTTGCTTTTGAAGAAAACCTTGCAAGGACATTTGCAAATGTTAGGGTTGTGATTGGAAAGCTTTGCTCTTATAAAGACGAAAATGTTTCTCAAGAAGAGGAAGGGAAGATTACTACATGGGATTGTCTGTTTAAGAAGGCAGAAAATGACCTGAACCTTGATAACCTATGTAAAATGCTGTCAGAAACATTTGGTTCCATTGTAAGTTGGATTGTCTTTTGAAGTTCGTGGATGCTATTTTTCTTTTATCTTTAAGCTTGAATTGAACTCAGGCTGCTATCTTCACAGGCACAACTGTTGAACTCATCGGGCGTCCTTTCAGCTTGTATTGGAGACCAGTTGAAGCAACTTCAAGCTTTTTTGGATCTTTTATTGAGCTTTGGCGATTGTTACCTCCAAGAGTTTTTGGCCATAAGTAAAACGGTATGTTTTTATCTTATGCTGTTCTTTCAAAGGCATCCAGGACAGATAGTTATACTCGTCTGGGCTCTAAGTTATCCCATTTATTGAATAACTGGATACGTTGTGCTTTAACTTTTGGTTTGTAGGTGTCAATGATAACCCATGTCCTCGCAAGTGTTCTTGCCGATCTATTTACAAAAGGATTTGGCATCTCCAAAAACGATGAAGATGATGGATCTAACGCTGACAAATCAGAAGCGGCAGAAGGTACTGGTATGGGAGATGGTGTGGGTACAAAAGATGTAAGTGACCAAATAGAAGATGAAGATCAACTGCTCGGCACAGATAAGAAGGTATATATCGTCTTTTCCTTATTGCCACCCATTCCTGAATTTTGCATGGGATTTTTTCACAAATTTAGATTTTCTTCCGTTGTCTCTGCAGGAAGAGGAAGAGAAAGAGCAAGATACTCCGGAAGATGTGCTGAGTAAGAATAAAGGCATTGAGATGAGCGACGAATTTGATGGGAAAGAGTATAGTGTTAGTGAGGATTCGGAAGAAGACGATGACGGCGAGGAAGGCGAGGATGAGCCGTTAGACTCTAAAATGGGAGATGCGGGATCTGATGCTGAGAAAGCTGATGAAAAGCCGTGGGACAAGGATGAAGATGAGGAGGCAGGAAATATGAATGAGAAGAATGAATCTGGACCATCTGTTGTAGAGAAGGACACAAAGGAGCTAAGAGCCAAGGATGATGGTGTTGACACTGCCGATGAGCCGGATGAGTCCAATACTTCTGACAAACCGGAAGAAGGAAACGATGAGAATGTGGATCAGGATAATTTTGGTGACACAGAAAATTTAGAAGATAAAATCCAGAACAAGGAAGAAGCACTTGCAGATCCACCTGGACTAACTCCTGATGCGGGCAAGGAACAGGTTGATGATGAAATGGAAATTGACAAAACAGATGAGGTCGAAAAGGAAGATCCAGCAGATCAGCAGGACGAACCTTGTCCAGAAGATAAGCATCCTGAAGAAGGTGAAAATGATCAAGAAACGGAAGAGCCTGCTGAGGAAACAATAGAGGCTAGGGCTGAAGATGTGTGTGAAACACTCCAAACGGAAGATCCTGGAAATGATCTTGAACAGAAATCTGAAACGGAACCAATAGAAGGAAAAGAAGTTATATCAGAAGATATGAAGCCGAACTTCTGTAATGATAATATTTCTGGCGTAGATTCTGGTTCACAAAATCCTCATGGATCTAATGGGTCGGGAGCTGGAAGCACAGCACCACAAGAAGATTTGTCAGCTACTAATGTTTCGGATGAACTCACGGATTCAATGGATCTGCCTTCGGGTAGTAACACTGAGATGAACTTCACGATGACTGGGTTGGCCAATGGTGAGGCATTGACGGACAACATACCAAAGATGGAATTTCCTCAAAACCAGTCATCTACATCTCAGCAAACCAAGGTGAATCCGTATAGAAACGTTGGTGATGCATTGAAGGAGTGGAAAGAAAGAGTTAGAGTCTCCTCAGACCTTGGAGAAAAGCAAGAGGCTGAAAACGAGATGGAAGACCCTGATGCTGGTGAATATGGTTTTGCTTCTCAGTTTGATGCAGGAACTTCCCAAGCTCTAGGACCTGCGTTGCCTGAGCAAGTGAACACAAATATGAGAGAGGGGGAATCTGAGGAAGAAAGACTCGCAGGTAATCAAGATGAAGCCTCTCCGATGGATACTGATGATGTGAACCCTGAAAACAAACCTGCTGTTCAGTCCAAACCGTCGATCAGGAATAGCATCGCTGAACCGGTCCAAGAACCAGATACAGACAGGACCCACCAAGAGAGCTCTCCCATTCAAAATTTTGATGATGGCAACAGCAGGATGGACTCTATGGTCTCTGTCGACAATACCTTCTTGGGGGAAGATTGTAATCCGGACTGGATGCAGGTGACTGACAAGGACTCAGAAAACAATCAGGATAATGAGGAAGATCCTGATGCCAGAAGTAATGCAGTTAATCTTTGGAGGAGATGTGAGTTGCTTACTGCGAAACCGTCTCAGGAACTGGCTGAGCAGCTGCGTCTTATCTTGGAACCCACACTTGCTAGCAAGCTCAGTGGTGATTACAGAACGGGTAAAAGGATCAACATGAAAAAGGTTATTCCATACATAGCGAGCCACTATCGGAAAGATAAAATTTGGTTGAGGAGGACAAAACCAAACAAGCGTGATTACCAGGTGGTTATTGCTGTGGATGATTCCCGTAGTATGTCGGAAAGTGGATGTGGTGATTTTGCAATTAGAGCTTTGGCAACCGTATGCCGAGCTATGTCACAGCTTGAGATGGGAAGTTTGGCGGTTGCAAGTTTTGGTAAGAAAGGAAGCATAAAGATGTTGCATGATTTTGGACAGTCCTTCACCACAGAATCCGGTATCAAGGTTAGTCGTCTCATTTTTTACAACCCCATGTCGCCTTCTCTGCAATTTCCCTCCTCTTCTGATTGCTCATAAAAAAACATGTCTTCTTTTTTGTGGTGCAGATGATCTCAGGGTTAACATTTAAACAAGAAAATCTCATTGAAGATGAACCTGTCGTCAATCTTTTGAGAAGCTTGAATGAAATGCTTGAGAATTTGGCCAGCACAAGGAGACAGTCTTACGGGAGCAACCCGCTTCAACAACTTGTGCTAATCATCGGCGATGGCAAGTTCCATGAGCGAGAGAAATTGAAACGATCTGTGAGAAAGTTTCTTCAGCAGAAACGTATGGTGGTATATCTTCTTCTTGATAACGCGGAACAATCGGTTCTGGATTTACAGGTATGTTCATTCTTCCTATCTATGGCTTATATTCTTGATTTACAACTACTTTGTCATGAAGCTAAAAACTGTTTTTATTTTGTAAACAGGAATTTGTTGCACAAATGGTAGATACTAATACTCCTCAGAAGATTGGCCCTCTAAAACAAATGACATATATGGATTCCTTCCCTTTCCCGTACTACATTGTGCTGAGAGATATCGAAGCCTTACCCAGAACACTTGGTGATGTCCTGAGACAGGTAACTTTCTCAATATCCATTTTCTTTTCCTTTTTAGTGTGGGGAAAGAAAAAAACACTGTCAAGTAACTTAATATAACAAAAATGTCCACTATTTTGTTTTGTTTTTGCAGTGGTTTGAGCTGATGCAAAGCTCGCGGGACTGAACACTTTTTGGATGAGAAAGGTCGAGGGCTACAATTTTGGTTTTGTCCGGTGTGATTCTTGCTTAGCTTTAATTGTATGCATTATGTACAAAAACCATAGTTATTCACAACGGAACCACAATGCTGTTATTTATATCCCTATATATAAATAAGACCCTCTTCTTTTCTCTTTCGATTTCCCACAAGTGGTACTGTTACTTGCATCTTTCATATGCTACATGTTTTCAGATTCGGTTCCAGTTCAGTTCGTGAATTTTTTTAAAACCTATTTAAGTACGTACACGTATTTTCAAATGTATAAGTTGCTATTATCAACTGTCAATCAAATTTTTCGATTTTGATTCAAATACGGAAGTACTATAATTAAATATAGAACTCCAATTCAATGGTTTCATTAAGTAAAACTTGATCTTTGTCTTAACCCCATTGAAACCATAACAAACTCAAAGCACAAATTGGATGCTGACATAGTTGATATAAGATTAAGCATGACATCAAGTTGACTGATCGGTTTGTTGTCAGGGTTATATCATTTGATTGAGTTACTTAACTGATAATTAATTTAGTTTATCGATCACAAGAGTTTTGGCAGATTTCAATTTGTTTGATCCTACATCTTTCTTAATTTATTATTTACAAGATCATTATAACCTTACTTCAAGTTCTATTTTCTTTGTAAGAAAAAAGGGAAAACGACGTATTTTTTCTTCAGAAATTTCATATACTAATAGATCCACCCGAATTTTCGATATGGTCCTACATCCAAAGTTAAAAACGTATTTCTATTTCCACCCGATTGGAAAATTTAAAACCTATTTACCCATAATTATTGGTTTGAGTGGTTTAGGAGCTTAACCTAGTATATAACCAATTTAATTTATAGCCGATCGAATTAAAAACCCGACCAAATAGAATCCAATCCATAAACCCGATTAAACCCATTCTTATTTTTTTTCTTCTTCTTCACCCGATCCATGATTATATTCTTCTTCTTCATTGAAAGAAAGCTGTTTATGCTCGACAAAATCTAGTCACCGATAACTGCCGATCAGTTTGATTACCAGAAGGCGAGCTACGACATATGAAGGAAAACCCAGAAAAAACATTGTCCAATCAGTCTGGAAAAGAATAGAATGGAAATTGAAATCCCGAATTCAAATTTAATCGAGATTTGATTGAATCCAAAATTATTGAATAAGAGCTTCACTTTCCTCTGATAAACGATCACAACACCATTTAAGAAAGAGACAAAAAACTGAATCATCAAACCCAGAAAACGAAAAACAGAAAAATTAAATTTCGATTAGCTAAATTGTTAATCATACCCATCAAAATCCCAAAATTGGAACTGACGGATTGAGAATCTCTTCCCTGTAGAGAGTAAAATAAACAAAACAAATCATTTCTCCTCTCTTGCAATATCCATCGACTCAGTGTAGTTAAATAACAACGTATGCAGAAACCATTCTCTCTCTTAATTTAACAAGAATGTCAAAGTTTTTCCCAGATTCGTAGCAGCCTTTGATCACAATCATGAAGCTATACACATTTAAATCAGCTTTGCTCTTGTTCTCGTTAAGAAACCCCAAAATTTTTCGAAAAAGACGACCCAATTATTAAAGCAATTCGGTCTGGGAATAAAACCAAATTATTTTGGTTTAGTTATTGGGTGAATCTGGTTTGACAAATTCAATTGGGTCTTGATCTGGTTTAATATTATTTTTAATGGTTAAACTAAATTTAGTAAACTGTAAACCGAATTAAATTATAGTTTAGGTGGTTTTTAGTTTTAAACTTTTATTTTGTGGATTAATATGTTTTGAACTTTCCAATCAGGTGGAAATACGTTTTTAACTTTCAAAATCAAAAAAATCTAAGATGAGATCAAAAATTTGGATGGATATGTTACTATATGAAATTTCCGATGGGGAAATATGTCGTTTTCCCATAAAAAAACATCTATAGAAATGTGCCGATTATTTTATTAAAGCATTTCTCGGTTTAAGCATTTTATTGTTTCTATATATATGGTGGTTAGTATTTTATCGGGCATAAAGTTACCGACTATTTTTTGTTAGTTAAAGATTACCGACTAATACTATGCAAAAGAAAAGAGAATGATCATTTAATTTGTTGATTGGACCAAACAAAATGGGTATGTATTGATAGCAAAGAAAATTATGAGGTTTCTTTCGAAAGTTATTTATAATATGGGGATGATGGGATTGTGTGCACGTTGTTAGAAAAGGAATGTTCAGTCTCTGTGTTCACATCCATTCGATTTTTGAATTAAGGTTATCAGGTTATGTGATCATCTTTTCTAATTCTTGATTCTGCAATCTTTGACTAAATAAGTACTAATTATATATCAATTAGATTTCGAGTAATCTATTTCAAATGGAATCTTGATGTATCTAATGATATCTATTGGATGTCACTATAAGAATGATCCGCTAGATTTTTGTTTTCTTTTTAAGTATCATTAATTAGATTTTTCCATTTGATAAATTATGAAATATACTGATATGTACTCTAGTGACAGAATTCAAACAGTAGTATCTTCTTGAAATATTTTCTGGTTGAATTTTATATATAAGTGTCCAGATAGAATTCTTACCACAATTTAACTTGGTCTCATGATGAATTGTTTAACATGCCTCTAAAATGAGAGAAGAAGAAAAATAATATATTTTCTTTACCCTTGTTACAAAAAAAAAAAGATTATGTTTATAGGTTATGATTGATAATATTGTATAGTAGTGGAATTGTATAAAATTACCATATTATTAACAAAATTTATGATTTTAATTAACTAAACTAAGATTAAAAAGCTAAAGAATTTTTTAAAAAAAGAAGAATAATATATTTGTGGGATAAACAATTATAACAAATCTTAATTTCGCAAAATTGTGTAATAGGTAAAAACTAAAGTGGTCACAAGATTATTTATTTATTCCACAATGGCGCAATTAATATTTTTTGTTAATCATATGTTTTATGTTAAGTTTGAATCTAAGTGATAACCCTATTAATTAACACAACACATTATGTACCCATTTTCAACAAAACAATTTAAACAAAAAAAATACAACATTATGCAACATGGCATGGTCCATTATTAAGTGTGCCTTGTTTGATAGAAAGAACGATGTCAGCCTTCAAAATGTTTTGTTTTCATTGACGATTTGCAATAGTTTAATTTAAAAATCAAAGAAATGTATATATTTTTGTTTCTGTTAGTATATATATAAATGGAATATATTTGTTATACTTTAAGCTTAATATTATATAATGAATTAAGGTTAATATTTCTTCTTCTTCTTTTTAAAGGATTAAGCTTAATACTTCTATTCAAGGTTAATACTTCTTTTTAAAGAGATATTGCGTATTCAGGGGTTGTGTCATCTCGTTTATTTCTAATATGTACCCGTTGTTACGAAATGACTTTGTCACCAAAAACATGTTGTTCAAAGAAGAAAGTGACGAGAAAAGTAAATGAAACAGGGATGATAATACTGGAAAAGAATATTCAGATATGTGTATCTTTTTTTCTTTCTTTTTTGTACAGATTGTAGAAATCTCTGGGCAGCTAGTTTTCTCGAGAATAGTATGATGCATAGAAGTTCCATTTGCTTTTCATATTCATTTCCCAAGATACGCAATCTTTACCCATCAATGCTTTTGCTTTTCTAATTGACGGCAAATCTTCTTTCTAATCATAAAAGTATATAACTCGACATAAAACAACACCAATTCTACATTTTCAACTTAAAATATTTAAAAAAACTATTATTTTAAATTTTACAGAAACTACTTATTTAAATTATTTAAAATTGTTTTTTTCCTTCCTCTTTTGGTCAGCAAGATAGTTACAACATGATCACATAACTTAATTCATATATAATTAGTAATTTTTATATTTTCTAATTTAGTATTTTTTTATACTTTCTCTGTTGTTTTGATGGTACATCATTTAGCATAAACAAACAAAAAAAAATGAAATGTTAAATAAAAATAAAATTGATGCCTACAAAGTTTTATTTATTATTAAAAAAAAGTTGTCTTAAAAACCAATTAAAATGAGTAAATTTGTAAAAGAAACGGAGCAGTTTAGTGCACTCAAACACAACCATCCATACAACTACAAGTGCACTTGATTTCAATCACCCAAATGGATAAGCACGTATAACATGAACCTAGTTAGGCCTGGGCAAAAAACCTGGATCCGAATATCCGAACCGGAACCGAACCGAGGTACCGAATCTGAACCGAAATTTTTAAAAATATCCGATGGATCTTAAACTCTTATACCCGAAGAACCGGAACCGAACTAGTACCGAACCGAGAACCGATTGGGTACTCGAATTATCCAAAATATAATTATATATCCTTTTAAATATTAGTTTTTTTTTGATATTTTTGATATTTAGTATATATTTCTGGTTTTACAGATATATTTTCTTTATTTTGGGACTTTTGGGTATATTTTTAAGTTTTGATATATATATTTTTGAATTTTTGTTATTAAAAAAGTGTGAGTCGAATTAAAAATTTGAGGCAAAAGATCCGGATCCGATTATCTGAACGGGAACCGAACCGAAATAAAGGTACCGAATCCGAACCGAAATTTATAAAAATACCCGATGGATCCTAACTTCCTCTACCCGAAATATCCGGAACCGATTGGTTCCGAATCGAAACCGAACCGAATATCCGAATGCCCAGGCCTAAACCTAGTTACCGGTTACCGCCAATATGGAGAAAAAAATGAATTTTTGGATCCGATTCAAATATATATTGCAAGAAAAAAAATGAGGCATTTCGAAGAAACAAAATCCATTTCAATTTATAAAATGGTCTGCCCTGAAAAATTAACTATGGAGTACAGGCTCAACAAGTACTATATCATACCATAAATGACTGAACCGATCCAATTTTGCTTGGTGTAAATTTAGATAGCTAGATATCAAATAACGAACCGCAAGTTTTATGTTGCAATTGGAAAATTTAAATTTTTTCTTTATTTCAAGTAACAAAACTTATTAAAAATCGAAATATAACCTCTCAACTATACTATCTTTATTGAAGGAAAACTGTGTTAAACTAATAGTAAATATCACAATTATCTAGATGACCACTATCTTTCACTTTAT